ACTGGCCTCTCTGAAGTCCAATTATCTGTAAGTATTTTAATATTTACAAAGCACCACCAATATTCAGGTCTTGTGCTAGGTGCTGAGAATAAGACCTTGTCCCTGCCCTCAGTATGTTTTTAAGATATTAGGAAAGATAACTGCAAGTTATTTTGATGGCAATTAGTAAAAATCAGCCAAGCAGAGATAGATAGATGTCTCTTTTCAGGCAGAGGGACTCCTCCAGCCACACCTACCAAAACAGGTGAGACTCATAGTCAGTGGGAGGATTGCAAGCCATCCGGAAAGACAGGTGGTACAGATGCGTCAGAGAGTGACACACAATTCAGTGTTAGTTTTTGGAGGCACTGCTGCCTGCCTAAGGATATTTCTTGGGTGTCAGAAAATTGGGGAAATGATGTGGTCAGGAGGTGTGTGTCTTCAACATTCAGCACTGAGAGGGGCGAACAGTACCAGTGGATTTTGCCTTAGCTCAGGTTCTCTTGAAATAGAACTTGAGGTAACAATTAGGTGCTGATGCTTTATTGGGAGGGACAGTTGCAGGCAGTGAGCGTGTGAGATAAAGACCTCCAGGTGGGAAGACTAGAGAGCAGCAGAAGGTCATGGGTTACTAGGCTGATCATAGTTTCTTATGTTTCAGAGATGCAATTGATTGCTTAGCAGGTGTACCCACTTGGATATGGCAGTCAGGTAAAATGGAATCATGTTTTGGAACAGTCTGTGAGAGGAATGATGGTATGGGAAGTTATCTTCTCATCTCCCGTTCTATCGATTTCAGATTACCCTGCTAGGAGACCACTTCCACATTGTTCCTGCATTGGTTTCTTGGCAGTTAGTCTGGGAACCGGATCTCATCCCCACAGTGTGGCTTTGCATCCAGAAGCCAGAAACACCAGGCATGTGGCTGCTTGGCCTAGATGAGCAGCAGCACCCATTAGGTTGAGGGAAAGAATGGTTCCTATAAGTAGAAGACACAAGACTACTCCACAGCCATTGTCATAGCTTGGAGGGCCCAGGAGACGTGGCTCCAGCAGATCAAAGGAGGTGCAGAAGATGTGTCAGATAAGTTTTCAAACCACACAGGTGGAGCCCCCCCCATAAAACATATAAAGGAGTTATTCTTTGATAAAAGAAGAAAGTCTACAGCACTTTTTCACACTCCCTCCCATGGTGAGTTTACAGGATTACCCCAGTGTTCCTTGTTACACAATTTGAGATTAGATTAGTTATTAGATTAGATTAGATCCCTTCTTGCACCTACATTCACATTTCTTAAGCAATACATCTAAGGAAGAATATTTTATTGTCTGTAAGATAAACTTTTTTTTGGCTTTTGGTTTGTGGAATTGCAAAGAAAGGAAGGCGTAGCAAGTGTAAACATGGAGAGAGTTATAAGAAATCCTGGGATTTGGGATTTTTGAAAATTTAAAGTTCATCTAGTTCAATTAACTTATAATTGCAGATGAGAAAAGTAAAATTCAAGAGGATAAGTTGTCTTGAAAAGGTCAGGCAACTAATTAGTGAAAAATGAAGAGCTAGAACCAAGGGAATCTGACTCTGGCCTCTTCTCTCTGTGAATGTGTTTTTGGAGTTCATGAATGTGTGTCAGTGGTTTTTGAATTTTGCATTTTCATTGTAACAACAATAAAAAACCATCCCTGTATGCCAGTACTGGACCATCTGGTTGACCACGGAATACTTCTGCATCCAAAGTATAGTGCATCCTTTCTTTGTGCTGGACTTAACCATGCAACTGAGCAGAAGAGAGGGACTCTGCCCCACAGCATTTGGTACCATGTCACCACTGCCATGGACTGCGCCTCAAGTGTTCTGTCTTGGCATATTTGCTCTAAGGCTACAAGGGGATGCAAAATGCTTTTTCTCCTCCTACCTCCAGCCATAATTTGGTTTGATACCCATCACTGAAGCAGTAATGCAAACTTTATCCTCAAGTGAACAAGACAATTTTGCTTAATTATAGGTGACATTTAAAGTGTCATTTTATTCTTGCAGAGAGTTTTTAGACAAATTGGAGGTCAGTAAAATCTCAACTAGAACCTTGATATTACTCAGTATTCTCTTATTCAGCACATTTATATAAACAATACTTTCTGTATTAGAATTACTAAAGTCAAAATTCTGAAACACTGAAGACAGGACAGGACCTGAGATTTACTATTTTTATTGGTGCATATTAGTAGCACAGAATAATGAAATTTGTTTGGTATATTGCTCCATGCATATAACATATTTTGATTATTTTCATCCCATACCTTCTTCTTTCTTTCCTCCCCTCTCCCCTTAAATGTTTTTATGAGTAGACTAAATATTGAAATTGTAGTTGCTGTGGACACATATTACAGTCCTTATAAATTTATGTTGCTAATTTAAATTTTACTACTTTCATAGTTCTTAGAATTTGATTTGTAAAATTTTCTTAGTCATCTTATAGGAACATAACTAATAGCCTGCTTCATATACGTATATATCTAGAGCATTATGATAAAAACAACAAAATTCTATCCTTGGAAATTGAGATATTTTCCTGTCAGAAACAAGTCCAGATATCACCCACTTTGAGAATCAGTGCTAACAACATAACTTCCTCCCAGCTGGCATAGTTACCCAGTGACAATCTAGAGGGAAAAGCTTACATTTTGGATTCCTGATTCAAAGGATCAGGTTCTGACACTGCCGACAACTGTGTGTGACTATTAAGTCAGTAACCTCTCTGGCCCTCCGTTTTTTCAATGGCGAATTAAAGATTGCAGGGATCATAAATTCCTATGCCTGTCAGAACCAGGTAGAGTAATTAGGTGAAATATGCCAGCTGTCACTAACAGGCAGTATTGGGGACAGTGACTAATTCAGAGAACATTTGTGCTGTATTTAAAATGACTGTATTTAGAATCAAAACTTTTATTTAGCATTGTAGCAAAAACAACAAATCTGTGGATGAGATTCCATCCGAAAGTGCCAGCTGGTGATTCCTGGAGCAAATCATGGTTTGCATACCTTCCTTAACGTTAAAACATGATGATAGTGCAGGGTGGAAAGAGGAATAGAAGGAAATCCCCCAGAATGCTTCAGGATACTTTAGTGTTTAAGATCCTACAGCATCATATAAAAGAATAAACAAGGAAGGCCCTGGGAAATGCATGATCAAAGTGAGTGGAGATTAAAAAAAAAAAGCAAAAGAAAAGAACAAAGTGAGAGAAAGACCCTTGTCGGTCTCAACTGCCTGCAGCCAAGAGTGATGGTGTATTACAATCCCTTTTCAGTCCTCTGGTAACACACTGCTGATCCATGCCAGGGATTCATTCACTACTGACAAACTACGGGCCAGGCACTGTGCCCAGTGCTGGAGAGAACTCTAAAAAAAATCATATTCATGTTTTTCCTTTTTCTTAGGAAATCCTTTTAAATGGTTGGTTTTCACTATTGTGCTTTTTGGCTCTCGATTTGTGCCAAGCGTTATTGATAAGAAGTTAACTCTAATTAGTATTAGAATATTAGGCAAGGTATTTTATATGTGCGTTCACTCCTGAGAGTTTAAGAAGACTGTATGAGAGTAGGTAGAAATGGACGTCATGCGAGCAGAAGCAGTGAGGTTCCAGATGTACGTTCTAACTTGGAGAGTGTTTTCCAGATGGAGTACAAACTCTTAACTTCTCACTTTCTCAATGACAGTTAGCATTTAGCACACAGATCTTCTGCCTCTGACCTGGCTGTTAGGTTTATTCTTCACTTCTCACACGTGCATTCTTGTTTGTATCCAGACTCAGCCACCGTTCCCTAGTAGACAAGATAAATGTTAGACTGTAGTTCAGTGAACCCAACTCCTGGCTGTGGGGCCTGGTTCATGGCCTTTAATTTAATGCAAAACAATAAATAGGCAGAGTGAGGAATGACATGGAACAACAGTTAGTCTGTCCCTGATAAGTTAGCTACCTTATTTATGTATGTTGGCCATACTTATTCTTTTAATAAGCTATTTCTTGTTTTAAATGCCTTTATTTACATTTGCCAGCTCTCAGGTTATTAGCCTTGTTACCATGTTCTTTGTCCTTTCAAACTCAATTGACTTTTCTTTTTTTCTTTTCCTTCTCCTTCTCCTTCTTCTCCTCCTTCTCCTCCTCCTCCTCTTCCTCCTCCTTCTCCTTCTTTTTTTTTTTTTTAGTGATGCTGGGGCCTTTGCACTGAGCTACATCCCCAACTCTTTTTATTTTTTATTTTGAGACAGGGTCTCAATAAGTTGGTAAGTTGCCCAGGCTAGGCTCAAATTTGAGATCTTCCTGCCTCAGCCTCTCAAAAAACAGAGATTGCAGGCATGCGTCAGCACACCTATCACTTGACATTTTTATGAAAGGTTTTAACTTGAGAGTGGCAAACGGAGTGCCAAGTCTCGAAAGCCCTGTGAGGACGTAACACTTGGACCACAATTTTTTCAGGGGATCTGTGGTTTTTACTTAGATTTCTGGAGTATGCTATGAGTTGATTGGCATAGTTTTCAAATTGCAAAACTAAGATATCACCATAGGACATATTGTATTTACTGCTCAGTAATGTACATGAATGAAAGGGAGCACACATTGTTTAAAAAGTGACACAAAAATTCAGACTCTTGGTAGTTGCCTCCCTAGACCCCTTCCGTAAGTCTTTCTGTAAACCACCCTCTCTGTCCTAGTTCCTTAGGCCACCTGAGGACAAAAAGTCCTACTGCTTTATGAATACAGTGACAGTGGCTAATGCTCATACTGAATTTTAGATAAGTGCTTTATTTGTATCTTATAAAAATACGAAATTGCAGACCCTAAGCTAATCAGTGTGTGGATGTTATGAAGAAAGTTGACTGACATGAAAGACATATTCTTCCCATGGCCCAACTAGTATTTCCATTGATTCATTTTTCATACAGCTCTGAGAAGCCCAAGCCCACACTTGTGCTGTTTGATGTGGCGAAAAAGCCACACTGGCTGATTGAAAACATTTGTTCTCAGGTGCCAGGTCGACCTGTCAGCCCTCAGTAGGGAACAGACGCACAAGTTGGAGCTGCAGCTGGAAGAGGGTGAGGGACACCTGGTACTGCTCGTCACACTGACAGCCTCAGCCACGGTCAGCATCTCTGACCTTTCTGCTAACTCCCTGGAGGACCAGAAGGAGCGGGAGGAGATCCTGAAGAGATACGTACGTATGCACCTCCTCCTTCTGGAGTCACTGTGCTACACAAGGTTATAGACGTGTCCTGGAGGGACACACCTATTTCCGAGGAGGTGTCTGATGGAAGACTGGGTCTGCAGCTTCACAGGAGCGCTTAGCTTTCCAGTCAGTGTCTCCCCGCATGGTCTTCTCCAGAGTCAGTTCCAGAGCAAGCTCTGGAGCTTGGATTCTCCTCAGTGATTTTATCCTGCAAGGAAACTTCCCTTAAGGAGAGTCAAGTTTACACAGCATTCCTTTAAAACTGATTCGTTGTACTCTGTGTATTTGCAATTAAGATTTCTTTGTCTCTCCAAGTTTGAAATGGGGTTAATGACACATTAATTAGAAGTGTGGTAACTAGAAAATATTTACAGAAGTGATCTTTATTTTCTACTGCTCAGAAAAGCTTCACGTCGTTCCTTTAATTTAAAAAAAATATGTAATTAAAAGGAACCCTCTTTCTTTTTGATGGACTATGGAGAGGGTGGACTAGAGAGTCACAAAAATCACTACTCTCCTCAAATTTTACCAAATCCAGTTATTCAAAACCAGATCTTGCTGTTTCCCAGGATCCTCCCATAGTACCTCATCCACTGTGTAGTTTTCTTAAATCAACAGAGAGGGGAGCTCTTACTCCACCATTCTCTCTCAATGGAGGCTTGGAAAAGTAAATGCCTCAGTACCCATGAAGCTGGGGAGAAAAGCTTTTCCACTTAAAATTACAAAGCTTGTATTATACCATGCTGCCAGGTGTTTAGAAGGCTCCTCTAGACACTCAGCCATGAAACCAAGCTCTGACTAACAAAGAACGGCTTCTTTTTAAAAAAAAAATATTCCTATTTGCTGAGTGACATCCTTTCAATAACTGAATTTAATAAAGATGTACCTTATCAGGCTGTGCAGATAACATGAAGTGCTGGTACTAATGCTCTACAATATTCTTCAAACAGATTAGCAGGATGTGCACTTCAGCAAATTTATTCTGGCTATCTGCACTGAATCAGCTGTCTGCTAATGCTTGTACAACTCATTGCCAATGGTGTTATCATAAACAGTTTAATAGAGGTGACTTAGCTAGGCTAAATAGTATATATTTTTAAACCACCTAAGAGCTGAAGGTATTGTGTGGCATCTTCTAATATGTGATTGCAATTATGAGAATTATTCCACATTTTGGTACCCACCAAAACATGTTCTCCTGTTACTAGAAGTGAACCCCAAGAAATTAAAATTATTGTAAAGGAATTAATTGGGCTATATCAATATAAAACTTCTTCTAGACACCTTAATGCTATAGTTCATGGACTGCTATTTTGATATTATCTCATATATGAAGATGATACTGCTGCCTGGGTAATTAGAAGTAATCTCTCTATTATTGATTTTTTTTTTCTTTTTGCTGGATGGACTTCCTGAAGTTGGGCATGCCCATTCAGAATCTGAATGTCTACTTTTCTACCTTCTTTTGAATGTTAGTTATTTCAATACGATGCAAAATATTATGTGGATGTCCCAGCTAATGTTAATATTATATTGTGCTCAATATATTTTAAAAAATCCATGTTTAATATCCCTTTTTATAGCCCTGAATTCCTGGCACAGGCTCGTGCCTTCCTCTAGAGACATAATGCTAAGAAGGTACGATATGCAGTATAGCACACGTCATAATTACTTATAGCAATACAAGAACAAAGAGCTATATTTTAGGGCTTCACTGTGTTTCCTTTTCATTATACAGATTATGAAATGAATGAATAACACAATGTATCCCCACATAGTTTTGGGAAACATAAAGGAGGCAACTTGTTTGGAAAATTATTTCCGTGTTTTCCTGTAAGAACATGTATATTTTCAAAGTTGACTTTCAACTCAAGGACTTGGTTTGGCAGTGATCTTGGTAGGGAAGTAAATGGATTGCCTCTACCCTGATATGAAGCAGGCCTGAGAAATCTCTCCATTGCTGTTGTGTGGCTGCTCGTTGCTAAACACAGGAGGCCTGCAAATTCAGCAGACTTTCCTGTGTGAGCCATTATTTGATCACCACGTTCTGCAAAGATGGCTAATTCCAGTTTTTCTTTTTTTTTCTTCTTTAGGGGGAGGGAAGGAGGGAAGGTCAATAGGGGCGGGTAGTAATGGGTAGTAGACCAAGAGCGATTGTATGACCTTTTCAGAACGGGTATGCTGAACCCTTGCTCCCCCTTGTCACAGTTTAAGAACCAGAGGAGCTAGTTTAGAGAAGAAGTTGTTAGCATTCCATTTTTATTATGACATTTCACAGTCATCTGATTTAATGTCCCTTGACCGGATTGTCCACCGTGAGACGATGGGCTTGAAATGTTATTTAGAGCATTGATAAAAGGTGAGCGGCTCTAAGATGACAGCGAGTCATAAGGCTGGTGGTGTGACATTAATTTTCTCCATAACAGAGATGGAATAAGACGTCACGGTGACAAGCTGTCAATCAGCTCTGGCCCCTCAGAGCATCTTGATGCCATAGGATGGGGTATTGCCTCTCCCGTAATAGAGCTGAACTGAGCTGCTCTCTCTGACAGCTGCTGCAGCCATAGAGAAAATATATTATACAGCCTTTCATTAAAAAAATAAAGAGGACTCCTCTCCAGAGCATTTCAATCTTTTCCCATCTATTGAGGGCTGAAAGGATTCACAGCAAATCATAGATTCCTCTGCTATGGAAATTTCTGGCTTCAGAAGCCATGCAGGTTTTGTGGCCTCCTAAAATAACCATAAATAACACAGCAGAAATCTCTCTCTCGATGAAGCATTCCTTAAAGTTATATTTTTAAACAGATATGTTTATCCACTTTTTTTGAGTTCTTATTATAATCTATATATCACTGGCCTAAACATTTGAAATTTGCAATAAATTATAGAGTGTCCGCTGACCTGGGGAAATGAAATGTTCAGACAATAATGACCCTCCCCATGGGAAGCAGGGCAGCAGACCTGAAGCACCCGAAGACGGTGTGTGTGTGAAGTGAGCTCAGGAACTTGGTGATTCTCAGACATGGGGCCTGATGATGCTTGCATTGGTCACCATGAAACTTGGTTCAAATTCCTCCAGAAAATTAAAGTATGAAACCTTCGCTGAAATGACTCCCCATCAGTAGTGTTGGGGACTTATCTGGTTTATGACAGCGGGTAAGCTCTGAAGCTGCCCACCCTTGGTTAGTACTCTAGGAACACAACATGCCTACAAAGCTCAGAACTGTGATACTGCTGTTTAAAGCTCCCGTCATTAAACCCTTTATTTATGGGAATTTAAATGGAGAGAGGAGTGCATTTTTACTAAACCCTGTCATCTGGGTATTTTAAACAGATTTTTGGTGATAAACAGCTGTTTAAGGACAATAAAAGATGAAGAGTTAATCCTGTGTTAAACACTGTCTCTAAAAAGTGAGGCTAGGAGATTACATATATATCAGCATCTCGTTTTCTCACTGTACCAAGGTCAGAGGTTCAGTGTAAACAGCTCTCCTCAGCCAGGACTGAGAAGGTTCATATTGCAGGAAGCTTTGGCTTCTCAGTATTCTAACATTAGCAACACAAGGCAGAAGATGCTTTTCACTCTAGAAAAAATTAATTTTAATAGGTAACTTTACCAAACAAAAGTATGTTATGATCTCCAATCAGGAAACATTTTTACAGATGATGATGATAAAGAAATGCCTTTGACTTACTGAGTGCAAGTGCTGATCTCACCATGAAAAAGAGCTATGAAGAGTAAATAAATGCATTTCAGTGTTCTAGAGTTTCATTTTACTCTCAGAATATTTGTGCCCATTAATTAACTTTGTAAATTGTTGTGTTGGTTCCCCTCTTTCAATTCTGTCAAGCACTGTGCTTATGAAAATGACACCATTATTAATTTATCAAGTGAAATAGTTTCATCCTTTCCAGTGCTGGAGATTAAACCAAGGGCCCAATACACCCAAGGCAAGGGTTTACCACTGAGCTGCCCCACAGCCATGAAGTGAAATATTTTTATCATTTGATTTTCTTTCAAACTTTCCATACTTCCACAGATACTATAATAGAAAATTAAAGAATAAATTTAAGAAAAAGTACTTTTGAATTTACTTTTAGTCATCAATTTGCCTTATTTTAAAAGATTGTATTTGTCTTTTCTCCAAAGGATTAATAGAAATACTTATCTTTTGATTAAACATTAGCAAATGGATTAAATATTAGGTTATTTATCCCTCATCTGGCACATGTAATTTCCAGCACTCACCCAGGAGAAAATAGCAGAAAAATACACTACTTTAAGTTTGACTTTCTTACTCACCCTCCCATAGCTGAAGAGTCAATCAACAACTTCAGACTCAAAATTAAGAATCATTAATTTCCAAACCATATACAGATGAAAGGTTTCTTGGACTGACTTAGAAGATGACATTGAAAAAAGAAAGTAGACGTGTCTACTCTGTAACTGTTCACCAACAACTGATAATTATTTAATGGGAGTAAATATGGTATTTTTATTCTTTCAGAAATTCATATATAGCAAAAATTATCTATATAATTGTGCGTGTGTGTGTGTGTGTGTGTGTGTGTGCGTATACACCCATGATGGCAGAAGAGTAATTTGTACTGGATAAATACATGTGACCTTTTGACCCGTTAGGTAACATTCTGAGAAGAACCATATAAGTGTTTTCTCAGCACACTCTTCAAGAACCTGTAAAAGTTTTCTTTCCTAATTCCAGAGCCCACTTCGGATATTTCACAACCTAAAAGATGTGGGGTTTCTCCAGGTGAAAGTCATCAGAGCAGAAGGCTTGATGGCTGCTGACGTCACAGGTAAGAAATGATACAATTCTCCTCTTGGACGTGTCAAGCAACATGCAAGGTCTAGGAAGAGTCTGACTTCGTGTTTCACCTGAAAGGATCATCAAGTAAATAACTTAAATATTCAGGTTTGCTTTTAACAAAGATTGGTCAACCCCCTGATTTTTCTACCAGTTCTGCTTTTTTAAAGGCAGAGTAGTATATTGAAAATAAAAAATGAAGAGCAAAATCTCTTCTGAGTTGTTGTTATCCACAAAATTTAATCTGTGTAGTGGGAGTAATTTTTCCAGGTATTGTCATTTTGACATATTGAAGCAATGCTGAATCATCTTTCAGACAGTATCCGCTTCCTTCATCACATAAACTCCTACAATTCAAACATGCATGAAACCTGTTGCATAGTTCATTGAAAAGTTTCAATGCATAGTAACAATAACTAGTATGAACTGTTACTATTTGAGTTGCTGCTGTAATTACTTAGTCGTCCAAATTCCTCTACACATCCCAGAGATAGCTCTGGATCTAAATTATACATCTAGAATGTTTGAAATTTTTAAACCAGGAAATAAACTTATAAAAATGTCAAAATTAGTTTTGCCTCTTAAGCTTTGGTATTGCTGTTTCTATGACATACTAACAAATGGGCTGAAGGTAACTATTTCATCAGTTATCATTGTTTTGAATTTACAACTATGACCATTCATTTTTTAATATCATAAGGCTTGCTCTTTCAAAGCTGGAAAAAATAGAGATATTTCTTCCCTAATGGTTCTGTGTGAATTGATGTGAATAACAATAGCCTTTCCCTTAGGGATTCAATGAGGCATAATTTTGATTTGATAAAATGAACATTAATTTGAGGAATACTAAATAACAGAGTCTCCATTTTTTTTCTTCCAGTTTTAGGGATATAAATCTAATAATTCTTCATTCCATGCTGACCTTATAATCTAATGGGTTCTGAATTGAACCAGAGAGATATTGAACTATTCAGGGCAAGTGGGTAATTCAATCTTTGACCTTGTTCACTCTTGGACCTTTTGTGGTCTTTATGACATTTGTGATGGTGGCAAAATTGAGGATGATGTATTTAAGTCAGAAACATCTGCATATAGGACCAATTTTTAAGATAATTTTTATTTCTGAAAAAATAAATAAGCTCTTTGTATACTATATCTCTTACTCATTCAAAGAAGAACTTTAAAGCTAAGATACACATCTCAGTGGATAACAATAGCCAAGCTCTTCACAATATGAAGCTATAGTTTGAAAAAGAGGGAATGAGTGAATATTGTTGTCTTCAAATCTTCAAATATACATCCCCTGAGTGTTTTGGATGGAAGGGGGAGATTTTAAATCACTGATAATTCTCTGTGCTTGGACAAGAATACTTTCAGATCTCGTAAAAACTGAGCTGTCCTTATGTTTGGTTTCACAATGCTTTTTTCTAGACCAGTCTAACGAGACAAACCTGTATTTGACCAACTTTTCTATTTTCAAAATACTTTTAATGGTCTGAACATCAAGTTGAACTTCCATTGTTTAAGAAAAAATTTTAAATTTTAATATTCCCTCATTAAACATGAGCCCAGAAGAGAAAGATTCCATAATCTTTTAAGTAGCCATCAATCTTACTGCAGTTACAAAGAATTTTTTTTCCTTTCAAAATGTAAAATTTTTCTTTTGTTACAACACATTCATTGAGAAACATTGTGATACTGTATTAACTCTGTGTGAATAAAGAGCAATTGAAACACTCTTTGAATGAGTGAGTATAAAGCACAAATTACTTTTTAATGAAACCCTCAATTCTTTCCCTTTCCACAAAAAGCCCATGGCCTTGTTCCGCAGAACACTACTACAGTAGGTCACTTCAGTTAAGCCCCTAATAAACTGTTGATAGTCGAGGGTAGTTTTTTCTTTGGTCTCAATAGCCCAGTGTTGGACAGTGCACTTCAAATCATTAAGGTTAATACAGATTTAAAAAAGAGATTAACTCTGGTGGTTAAGGCCTCAATTTACAACTCCCACACATACACATGCATTGAGCAAGGCACAAGAGTGGATTGAAATTTCAGTCAAATTGTGGGCAGCCTTTCACAGCCTGAGAAAAGTTTGTCTGCTAAACTCTTTGTGAAGGGAAAAAGTTGGAGTAACTGAGAAATACCGCTCAGTACAACTTACTTACCTTTCAGCTAACCAGTGAAAAGGTTAATGTCTTTCTGCGCCATCAAAGCAAAGCCTAGAGAACATCTGGCCCTGTGTGCGCTGGGGAAGATTCTCTCGATTGCTGAAACTGGACAGATTGTGAGAAGAGACAGACTGTGAGGGGAAAGATTTTTTAGTGGTGGGAAATAGTTGTTGTAACTTGTTTTCCCTGGCTTCTAATCATTCTTTGCCTGGAGCGCAGCTAATTTCAAGTGAGCATTTCAAGTCTTCTATATTGAGTGAGGCTTTCTTTGCGGTGTTTAGGCCTGGCCCGTTGGTTCTTTCAAGTTGTAAGAGAATAAAGAGAAAAGAGTTCTTCTCCTCAGCCCCTCCCCTTCATCTTCCCCTGGGTTGTGGTGTGTGGGGTTTTTTTCTCCTGAGGAAGGGGTCATAGCCTCCCTAGAGGACCAGTCACTCGGTTTCAGGAACAGTGATATGGGAGAACTATGAAGCCCTTCAAAAATGCCCTGCCTTTTCACTGTATTAATATAAACTTCTCCCACCCCAGGTGAATTGATGTAGCAAATTAATGCACCATCTCTCTCAGGAAACAATGGAGGGAGAGGAAGAGAAAAAGCAAGAGAAAGAAAATTTTACAATTAACAGAATCTGTCACTGAAATCGTCACATTAAACCAGCAGGGTTTTTTTTGTTTTTTTTTTCCTGAAACAAGGCTAGGCATAAAGGCTTGTGACTCACCAGCCCCACAGTCTGGAAACCTACTAGCTATTAAGAGATGTTTACTATCCCTTTATTTGCATAGACTTTTCCCATGTTTTCCTTTTGGAAAACTGTCTTCATTGTTGGAAAATATTTAAGTAACAAAACAGCAGAAAAAGACATGCTACAGTTTTTTTTTTTTTTATCAGCTTCCGTGAGAGTCTTATTATCTTAAGAAATAACAGTTAGCGGCTCAGCTTCATTAGCAGAGCTAAATTTAAGCCGCATTTGACAGGCTGCCTAGAAAACATTTTGTTTTGCTGTCTGTGGGCTTTAATTAAGATGTGTTCAATTTCAGTCCTCTTCAGCCTAGCCCCCACCCCCAACTTGCTGTGTCACAGACTGGCGATCAGACACTTTCAGATGGTCCGGCCCATGACTTTGACCTTCTGCGCGGTCCGGCGTTCCCTGGGGAACCGTTCAACTCATGAGGTCTGATTTCACACTTCCAGGATGCCTCAGCTCTCTTAACAATGACAGGGAGACAAAGCCCTTTAGAGCAGGCCGCATGGGGACTTGTTTAAATTGGAAACCAGAGAGGAGTCAAGGAACAAGGTTAGGGGCTACAGAATGGTGCTTTTAATAAAGAGCTCACAGCTCTGGCTCGGCTCAAAGAGGTCTACCTCTGTACAATTAATTGAGCCATTTATCTGGAGCATCTTAGGCCTCTACTTTCTCACAGAATTGCGTGGTAAATATCAGCTAAGAAGCAAATGAGATATGCATGAAATGAATTTTAACACTTTGATTACTGTGCCTCCAGTCTTCATTAAAACTAAATTTATTTGTATTTCTGACCTCATTATCAGTAGGCTGCCTGCATTTTTATTGGCTCCTGTGATTTCCAGCTTGAGTGTGTCATGAAGGTATATTTTACACAGAGATTGGGATTTATTATTCTTGGTATTTTCCCTGAACATTATGGGTCTATTCAGAGAAAGAAAATGAAAAAGCAGCTGTATAGAAAAAGCCAAGTCTGCTCTTGGAAAGTTTTATATAAAGTTGGAGGAACACCAAGCATACATACATAACATAGACATGATGTTGTCCTTCAAAAAAATAACATGTTATGGATTTCTCTAGCAAATTGCATGAAATACATGCAATTGTTGCTTCGAGTTGCCTGAAAAATGCCATTGCTCTATTAGAAGAAGTGGCTCCTTTGATAGGATTGTAACAGTTTGAATTTTATAGCCTGTACCTGTAGTTCCCATTATCATATTTAATAGTGATGATATCTGATAAATGCAGATTTATATCTTACTGTCTTTATTAAAACCTATGTTAGAAGAAGAGAACATATATAACCTCTAAACTCTACATAGTTCACCTAAGTGGACTATGAAAGATAGAAGTGCTTCATATGTGTGGATTATCAGGAGTAAAATAATTTATCAAATAAAAGAAGAAAAATGTATGCAGATAGTCTTAATTTTCTAACTTTTACTATATTAACATCTTAAAACAACATTTCTTGAGATAAAACCCTAAGTCTTAACACAAAACATATTGAAAATTTCCCAAAGTAAGCCTTATTTCTGTTATGTAAGCTAATGCTATCCTCAATTGCTTTTTAATAATTACAGGATAGAAGACTTTTAAGCAGCTAGTATGCTTTAAGGAAACAGTTTATCCAATTTATAAAAAGTATCCAAGAAATATTCCACACCTGACATTATTACAAAAATCATATGCATAATTTAGAAAACTATCACATATGCAGCATAAATGTATATTATCTATAAATCTCTTTAAAATCTCTTTACGAATAACCGTAAACAAAGAAAGCATCACAAAGCAGGAGAAAAGCATTATTTCTTCTTTTTTTATGTCGCTACATCTTACCTAAAATATTTCCTTTTTTAGTAATTGCATTTTTAAAAAAGTAATCATATTCTAATTGTAGAAATGCGAAAAGAAATTATTCTAAAACCAAACGTTGATATCAAATATTTGTGAGGAGAATGGAAATTATAATTTAGCACAAGGGTTGATGAGGCCTGAGTCTGAACCAATGTTTTAAAGGGAATTACAGAAATCATGAGTGATTCATATGCTGGTCACATGGGTAGGAGACACTGCTC